TGTGTTGCCTGAAGGCGTTAGCAGAACAGAATGAGGGCGAGATGCAAACATCTCAGTGAGGGTTAGCTGGCCACTTAAGGCACTTATAATAGTGGCGTGAGAATAATGAGTAGATTGATTTTTGTTATTCCAACAAAGAATTGGGCCTCCGGTAAACTCGCTCACTCGGCAAAACACAACTTAAGTGTTGTTTCACGCCTTTTTCTGTGCCGTGGAATCACTCCGGTCAAGCCGGCCCATTAGTGCCGAAGCAAGGCTCTCCCACACTTAAAATTCTAAGAAATTTTAAATACATAAACAGTTGGAATTGAAGCCATCATTTGATTGGTAAATTAAAACCAATTCTCAATTTAAACGATGCCTAACAATTTGGAGTGCGATAAATGCTATGGACTCGCCTATTAACAAAATGGGAGTTCAAACGTTCCATTGCCTAATTCTTAAAGAAAGAAATTGTAAACGGTCAAATTCTATTAACGTTTTTTTTTTTGGAGAAAACGTGGCACTAGAGAGATTGTCTTCGGTATTGTAGATGCATTTACAAAGACTAAATATCACAATTTGTATATCACATAGTGATAGGTAGGCCAATATTATATTCATCATCAACAGCCTATAAGTGCCCACTGCTGAGCAAAAGTCTCTTCTTACACGGAGGTTTGAGCATTAACCACGCACCACGCTTGCTCTAGGCAAATATGCAAACTTATAGATAATTAGAAATTATAAGTCCAGGTTTCCTCACGATGTTTTTCTTCACCGTATGTCAGTGGTGTTTAAATAATGAGAGAGTGTACATATAGCTCGAAAAAGCTACACCCTCATGCATGAGAAGCGAGCGCCTTAACCTCCTGGCCACCACGACAAGTAGAAAGAAAGAAAAATTTAAACTATAATATTATAAATGCGAAAGTAAATCTGTCTGTCTGTCTGTCTTTTCTTCACGCCTAAACTACTGAACCGATTTCTGTAAATTTGGTATAGACATAGTTTGGAATTCGAGAAAGGACATAGGATAGTTTTTATACCAAAAATCTGCCGGAAGTCCGCCCGCGACTCCGTTCCACACGAACGCAGTCGCGGGCAAAAGCTAGTATTATAATATTTTATAGCCAAAGCTTAAATGTTACTTGAACATCCTAGTGTAGTGTGATTCAAGACAGAAAACCTGACCAACCAAGCACATTGAATTATACGAAACTTTTAATATTTAAAAAGTAACCAACGAACAAAATTACGAAACATAAAATAAAACTTTAATTCGTCAATAAAAATATTTACATAAATATCGGCGGTACGAACAAATCATAATTTCGAAGTTCGAACGACCATCGACACAGATCGTTTAGTGAGTGAATGAATGATTGAACGATTACGCGCGGTCATCGACCTCGAGGAAGCGGTTTGTCAACAATTCGTGAACTTTTTTTGTTATTTTTAAGGCGTGGGAAGGAGTTATAATGCCTAGTTGATTTTAAGGCTGTTATTCAGCCTAGATTTTGTAATCTTTTTGCTAATTGAAGTACAATTTTAATTGTTGGTCTTAAGTTCTTCATAGAAAACCGGCGTGAATGAACACTTATGTTGTGTTATACCGCGAGTGTGAGGTCACCGGAGGTCCTATCTCCCCCATCCCGAAAATTCTCTATCGTTAAATCCATGATAACCTACAAGGGGATTGTACGGTTGGCGCGGTGGCTGGACAACTGGCTGCCGCGCAACGTGTCGCGGGTCCGATTACCACACGGACTCTTTGTGTGATCCACAAATTATTATGTATTTGAAATAGTATGTTCGTAACCACACCCACGATAAAGGAGAAAATCCTATTGTGGTGCAGCTTCTTTTTAATAAGATTTCAATGTTTCTGTACCTAACATAAAACTTATTTAGTATCCATATAATATCGCAACATTTATTTTTATCATTATTAACAAAAACATTTCACCATAGCATGAGAAAAAACAATACTTGAGTAACTGTCGCTCAGCATTCAACCTTGTACTACTAAACGCCATTGTTCTGGCTAGTATCGCGCTTTTTGGTTCCCTAAAGTGTAAGTAGAGGTAGACATTCATATATTTTTATACTTTTCGCTCCTTTTCGACTCCTACAACATTGTGATTCTGTAAGACTTCATTCTAAACTTCGAATCTGAATCCGCTGCGTGTGAGTACACTAGCGCTACACTTGCGAGTTGAACTTAATTGACAGCAATATTTTGACAGATAAAGTATGAGATGACGTTAAAAGTGACATTGAATAATGTAATTTCCCCGTCACTTCACATTCGAACAAGATTCAAAATAAAAAAAAGAATCGACGTGCAGATAGTAGTGTGAAATTTTATATCTTATAGCCTACCTCGATAAATGGACTAACACAAAAAGAATTGTCCATTTCGAACCAGTAGTTCCCGAGATTAGCGCGTTCAAACACAACACCACAAACTCTTTAACTTTATGATAATATATGAATATAGATATAGATAACAACTACTTTCCTCTAGTTATGTTATAGAAGTCCCACCACCCATATAATTACGACAACCAAGGTTGCGGGTGCAAACATTGCCGCGGCCTCGGCCCAGAGCAGGAGAAGGAACGGGGTGTTTTTAGTCAGTAAGAGTCTATAACTCCTTTTAGACCCATCGAGGACAAAATAAGGTATACAATGATTAAGCTCCCTCAAAAAAACAACATTTATTAGTTTGTTAGGGCGGCAAACAAGTAGTCGGGTTACCTGATGGTAAGCAACCGACGCCACCCTTGAACACCCGCCACGACGGCAACGGAGGAGTTACGACTGCGTTGCTGACCTCTTGGGGATAAGGGATTTGGAAAGGGAAAGGCCACCGGTAACCACACTCACTCGGCGAAACACAACGCTGTCGTTGTTTCACGAAGGTTTTCTAGTAATAGACTGTCTATTGTCCTTAGGGTTACTTTATTTTTATATTTTAATAAATATTAGTGTTACACTGTTCTCACAGAATTGAACCAACTGTTTGTAAAAGGAATCTGTATGTGACACTAATTTAAAAAGAGTAACCATGGAGTTTCTTGCTCGTTCTTCTCCATCGGAATCTACACTTTGGAACGAGCAAATAGCTTCACTAAGAGGACTGACCGACAGACTGACACTATATCTTCAAAATTTAGTTTGACGTTCAAAAGTGCCTGTAAAGGTCTAATTGGAATAAATGATTTTTGACTTTATGACTTTGAAAATAATAATATAAAGAAGAGCATTTATCAAATAATATTATTTTTATGAGTAAAATTCAAGGGATGCACAACCGGAATTCTTAGCACAGAATAAAAAAATCGTAAAAGTGACAGGTTGCAGATACAAACTTTTTAAAAATGGATCTTAGACGTTACCTGTTCCATTCTCTATACATTTTTTTTTTCTTAAAAAGGGCGTTTCTCCGACACCGGCTTTTAGGTATATGTTACTACCAATTTTTTTTCAATATTGTTATTATAATCTTTGGCGGCATTTTATAAAACGTTCATGAATAAAAATGTTGGTGGGAGTTTGAGTTTATTTATTTTGAGTTTGTAGGATTACGCAGGTGCGTTGAAAACGTTCTGTCGTTTAACCGATGTTAGTGAATTCCTGAAATTCCTTTTGGTTCCTCCAGTTTAGATAATGTGAATTTAAATGATAGATGAATACCCCATACAGCTGTATATGCTGTAAGTGAATTTTTACTCATGGCCAGTCTTGAAGCTTACAGCCCCATTTCAACCAAAATATTTTCTTCTCTTTCCAAGTTATTTTGGTTGAGGGATCTAAGTCAGTCATTCATGTCCCTGGGACTTAAGTGTTTCGGTGTTTTTATGGTTGTATCTACTGTATACTGTATACTGTTGGGACTGGTCTTCTCGAGGCTGTCTTAATATGTTATCCTTGAGGTTAACTTCCTAAACATTAGTGTTACACTGTTCTCACATATCAGAACCGACTAAATGTCATAAGTAACAAAGAAATGAATTGTAAAACTGATTGAAAAAGAGTAACCATGGAGTTTCTCTTCGTTCTTCTGGATAGGAATAAATACTTTGGAAGGAGCAAATGTAGCTTCACTAGAGGACAGACGGACAGACTGATACGCATGAAGTTAATCCACTTGTAATATTTTTTTACTTTTTTTGTTTGACGTTCAAAAGCGCCTACTGTGGTCTATTTAAAATAAATACTTTTGACTTAGACGTTGTAGATCCTAGCTCACAGCAGTAGCAGCTGTTTTCAAAAATTAAAGTATCTACTTTTATTAAAGCGATTTTCACGGTCGGTAATTATTTTCGACCATAAAAATAGTCTCCCATCCTCAACTATAAAACATGACTTTCTCTGGCCTTCGACATGAGAAACATTGCAGCATTACAATTATTATAATGTTCTAGGTTAATAATAGGAAACTTTCACTAAACAACTAAAATACTCGGACGCATTTGCAAACAAACACAAACTAAATTATAAGCTTCTGTGAGAATCTCTATCGAATATGGCCGGCACGTCAACCTACCCCGAAATGGACGACTTTTCAAGTGATTTCCACCTTTATAAAGTTGTATATAAAGGTGGAAATGTTATTAGGATTTGTGGAGGAGCTTGATCTGTTGGTTTCCATTTATGCATGATAAAACAAAGTTTATAAAAACAGAAAGAAAATTCGTCATTGTGCTACAAATCTTTTTTTTCTTTTGCATATTATGCATGTCGTGGTAGACCGGAGGTTAAGGAGCCCGCTTCTCATGCATGTGGGCGTGGGTTCCAAACCTGGCAAGCACCAATGTGACTTTTTCCGAGTTATATGTACTTTCTATGATTATTTAGACACCACTGACATAGGTACGGTGAAGGTAAACATCTTGAGGAAACCTGGACTTATAATTTCTAATTATAATCAACCCGCATTGAGCAAGCGTGGTGATTAATACTCTAACCTTTTCCGTGTGAGAAGAGGCCTTTGCTCAGCAGTGGGCACTTACAGGCTGATGATGAATTTATGCAGTGGCTCGGTGACCAACGCCGCGTGATTTTTTAATGTCATAGGTCGGTAACGAGGAGACTGTTTACCTGATGGTAAGCAATCAGCGCCACCCATGGCCTCTTGTAGTTTATTAGGGACTAGCTATTCTCGCGCACTACCCGCTGCTCGGCTTCAATCATTGGATTGTGATGTTTTATATCCTATAGCACTCAGGAACATTGTAGCTATCTATCAGTGAAAGAATTTTGGCAATCCGACCAGCGGTTTCAAAGATTACCCCCACTACATGCAAACTTACAAATTTTAACTCTTTATAATATTAATATAGATTTGAGGATGGAGGAAAATAAGGCCTCCGGTAACCTCACTCATACGGCGCAAAACAACGTAAGTGTTTAATCACGCCGGTTTTCTGTGAGGCCGTGGTATCACTCTGGTTGAGCCGACCCATTCGTGCCGAAGCATGGCTCTCCCACACTTACAAACTTACGCCTTTATAATATTAGTAGGATGTGAAACAGAGCTTTTATTGTAATAGAAAGTGACTGTTATATTTCGTGACACATATTTGCCAATTGCCCTCTCGCGGTAATTGACCCTTGCGCCCGACAGAGGGCACTGTCCTCTTGGAGAGCGGGTAATAAAGCAGGCAGGACGTCTTGTTTAGATTTCTTCATTTAGGACGCATTAGAGGGTCCATTGATGATATAGAAAAAACTTTGAGAAAAGTGGGAAAGGTGCAAGGTCGTATGTACCTATTTTTACTTATACTTTTGAGTGTATTGTAGGTTGTATGGTAGGAATTACGTTAAAGCGATCGAGATATTACTGCGTATAACCCTGGTTGATTAGCTTGAATCAGGCCAATCAGAACACAATGTCTCTACATTATTATTAATAATGTCTCTACATACAATGTCTGAATAATAATGTCTCTACATTATTATTCCGTTTCCATGAACCTAAAGCAAAGTCACACTCACATCACATCATCAGCTTACAAGTGCCCACTGCTGAGCAAAGGCCTCTTTTCACACGGAGAAGGTTTGAGCATTAAACACCACGCTTTGCTCAATGCGGATTGGAGATTTCAAACTCATGATTAGAAATTATAAGTTTGCGATGTTTTCCTTCATCGTATATCAGTAAAAGATAAAAGATAAAAGATAAAAGATAATTTATTTTGTAAAACATGGGTGTATGTGTACAAAGCAAATAATTGCAACATAAGGTGTAAAAAATAATAATAATCAGACCCTTACATGTTTTGCCTAGGATAGGCGTACAAAATTTTGTTCTATTTGAACCGAAACGTCATAGTGTTAGGCATCAATTAAGTATTCCTTCAGATTATAAAAACATTTGCTAATAAGAAATTTCTTTAATTGTAATTTAAATTTATTTAAGGGAAGCTGCTGAATGGATTTGGGTATTTTATTATAAATAACAGGCGCTAGGCAGAACACACTTTTGTGCATTAGTGCAGTGTTGCACGGCACAATACTTAGTTTGTCACCATCCCTACGGCTACGATTGCTTGCATCGGCAAGGCGACTAAATAGCTTTGGGTTGGTTTTTACAAATATAGCGACCTCATATATAAATAGGGAGGGTAGAGTTAGTATTTTATATTTAATGAAATATTGCTTACAGCTATCAGTGCTTTGGAGACCAAACATTGCCCTGATGCATCTCTTTTGAGATTTGAAGACAATTTCTTTGTTGGTCGAGTTGCCCCAAAATATTACTCCGAATCTCAAGACAGACTCAACTATGCCATGATATGCTGTAATAATGGCATCAGTGTCTATGATGGCTGATAGTCTGTATAGAGCGTACGTGGAGGAACTAACTCTTTTTGTGAGTTCCTCCGTGTGTGTCTTCCAATTCATATTTTTGTCAATGATAATACCTAAAAATTTTGCAGTAGCAACTGTTTCTAGTAATGCGCCTTGATAACTGATTTTAAAATTTGGAGAAATACATTATTTTTGTTTTGGCTATGTTAATCTTCAGGTTATTATTATTCATCCATTGTATTAATGATTGGATGGTTTTATTAATTTCGTCCTCATGTGAGGCGTTTACTTTGGAGTCTACAGTAACTGTACTATCATCGGCAAATAGCGTTGTTGGATATTTTGTCACTAGTGGTAAATCATTAATATATATAATAAAAAGTAGCGGTCCTAATACGCTGCCCTGTGGTACGCCAAACATGACTTTACGGTTATGGGAGTTGAAAGTTTCCTCACATTTTTTGTTTATATTTATTCTGGTGATTTCGGTGTATTGTGTTCTATTTTTTAAATAAGATTCCATTAATTTGAGTATATTGCCCCTAATACCGTAAGCTTCCAGTTTATTAAGTAATATGTCATGACTCACATAATCAAAGGCCTGAGTCATGTCACAGTAGACTGCACATATGGGTACTTTTGTATCAACTTTGTTATAAATATTCTTTAAAAAATCAAAAATCGCCATGTTTATAGTTTTATTTTTACGAAAACCTTTCTGCTCATGCGTTAAAATATTATGTCGTTCTAGAAAATTATAAATTTGTTCATAAATGTATTTTTCAAAAATTTTAGAAAATATTGAGAGAAGGGCAATTGGCCTGTAGCAGTGCATTGATTCCATGTCGTCTTTTTTAAATAAAGGTTTAATTATGGAAATTTTTAACTTATCTGGGTAAGTACCTGTTGAGATACACAGATTTATAATAAAACTCAAGTGTACACAGATAATATCAGCAACATATTTGACAATTTTTGTTGATACTTCATCATGACCGACACTGTTGGTATTTTTTAGGTCTTTGATGATTTATAACACATCATGTGGGGTGCTTGGTGCCATAAATATTGAATTTTTACATTTGTTAATTTTAATATTTGTGTTGTTAGTAGAATTATTTATAGGTTGTATTTTATCAACGAAAAAATTATTGAATGAGTTTGCTATTTCTTGTGGATTATTTACATACTTGTTATCTATTTTTAAGGAATCAATAATGTCCTTTGGGATATTTGTTTGATTTTTGTTTATAATACCCCACGTCGTTTTTGATTTATTAGTCGACGTTTTAATTTTGTAGCAATTTTGAGCACGTTGTGTAAGCTTAATAATATGTTTGTAAAGTTTATTGTATTTTTTAAATGTAAGTTTATTTATGTCATTACTTTTTAACCTATAATTCCATAATAGTTCTCTTTTCTTCTTACTGCAATTTTTTATTCCTCGAGATAGCCATTTTGGTTTTTTGAAGACTTGAATATTTATCGTAATTTGTGGTAAACATAGTTTGTACAACAACATGAAGTCGTCCATAAATGAATTGTAGGCTTTATTTGCATCATTTGATTCGTACATTTCCGAGAAAGATAGATTTTTTAAACAATTTCTAAATTTTTCTAAGTTTTCTGTGTTAAAGTCTCTACGTGTGATTTTCCACTTATTTATTAAATAAATTTTATTTACGGAAAATTTAAGTAATTGCGCTGTGTGATCTGATAAACCGAATTCAATAACTTCTGACTTACATTTTTTCCCAATATTGTGTGCAAAATTGTCTATGCAAGTTCCGCTAGCGAGTCTGGTCGGTTGTTTTAATTGCAGTTTTAGATTATAATTTAAAAGCAGACATTCCAGTTCAAGAAATGTACTATTATGTTTAAGACAGTCTATGTTAAAGTCGCCTGCAATTATGACACTTCGTTTCTGTTTCAATGCTAGTAAAATATGTAACATTTTATCAAATTGTTCAAAGAAAATATTTAAGTTATTCGACTTTGGTACTCTGTATATACAAATAACTAATGTTTTATAATTAACTAATTCTATACCACAGCATTCGAAAACCCCACTTATAGAACATTTAGCAATATCTGAAATTTCTTTACAATTGTGACCTTTTTTTACAAGTATACATGTCCCCCCCCTTTTACTCTTAATTCTACTAAATCTAGCTGCTAATATATAGTTTGGTATTGTTAACAATTGTTCGTATCCTTCCGACATGAAATGTTCCGATATGCAGACGACATCGATATCATTGGTTTTTTCTCGTAGTTCTTCCAGACAGACTGTGAGCTCGTCAGACTTATTTAGAAGGCCAGCGATGTTTTGGTGCAGTATATTTATGTATTTATTCAAGAAAAAACTGAGTCTTGTTTTGTTGATTCAATTCGGTCGTCTGTACTTGTTCCAATTCTGTAGTTACATCTGTGCTAATGATGTACTTTGCGATGTCTCTAAATATTGTCTGCATGCCGTAGTTATTGACCGATCTAGTAGTATGACTGAACATGTCATAGTCGCATGACAGATTTTTGTTTGAGTCTACGAAATAGGCATATTCATGTGTTTTGATGTCGGTGCAGAGAAGATTGTTGAAAGTTTCGACATGGCAGTTATACATAGAAGAAAAATATGAGAGCTTGTAAGTTGGAACACATATTATTATGTTCGTATGGGTTATTCTTTCTATGTTTTTTCTTATATTTTCTACAAGAGAATAATAATTCTTGGTTCTCTCAAAATCAGTTGGTCCAATTAGAATAACACAATAGTCGCACATGGTAAACTCCTTCAATTTATCTTCTAGATCACAGATCATATTATTTATTCCACAATTTGGCTTTAGATAGTGACATATTTCATACTCAGAGTTCCTATTAAGTATATTCTCCGCGATTGAGCGTATTTTGTTTATTCTGTTTTCACTTATTATGCATATTTTATTCCGTTTTTTAATCTCACTACTTTTTACTTTTATTCTTCCACTTAAATGACTAGGACAGGTGACTGTGTTTTGAATATACTGTGTACATATTGTGCCATTGACTTCTTGAGCTGTTGAACCATGACAAGCAATTGTTGTAGATTGCCGGGGCTGCTTAGGAGATGATGTAGCAGGTAAGGCCATTCTATTAGAATTACGTTTTTGTTTTTTAGATGTTTTGGTTTTGCGAACAGCTGTATTCGATAGGGACGTATTTATATTTAGTGTAGTAGCAGTAGTGTCTAAATAATCTTAGAAAGTACATAGGTATAATTCTGCAAAAGTCATGATTCATGATGATGAAATCGAGAACCCACATTGAGCAAGC